AAAGGTAGTCTCCTTCCTCTCTCATCCTCCTAAAATGTGCCCCATTTAATTCAACAGACCTTCACTCTCCTGTTGCATCATTACAGGTGAAATGAAACAATAAAAATGAAAACAATTTCAACATCATGCTGCTCTGTGTGGCCTGAAAAGATACTATTATGTAGCGGTTCACAGAGAAAGAGAGCGGATTCTATTGCAAACATAAGAGATACAATCCTATGTCATTTTTAAAAAGCCATCAGAAATATAAATCAAATAGAAAGATGAAGAATTTGTAAGTTAAAAAACAAAGTCAGTTTAATAATAATGAAAAAAAAAATAGAGATTGGATAGTGAAACTGACATGTTTATTTCCCCTCCCTCATTTCCATTTCCAAATTCATCCTAAACAATTTCAAAAACAACTGAAGAAAAATCATCTTTGGAAGTAAAAGACTCCTATGCACTACAGTATACGGAGATGCTGCTACCCAGTTGCTTAAGTCATTTATTATTATTATTATTATTGATTCTTCAAAATTAACTTTTTTAGTTTTATGATCGGTTCTATCTGTTTGTCTTTATTCTAAGAGGTAGATCAACAAAAAAAGAAAGAAAACGAAAAACCTGGTTATAGGAGTCATGCCTTTCGATTCAGGCCGTGAAGTCATAAAATGGGACTAAAGGTGGAGGACAGAATGTTAGTAGAAGCTCCAGACAGGTTGTGCCATTTTATTGCCGATTTAAATCTAGTTTCACCAAAAAAGAAAGACGGTGAAACCGTTTTTAAGATCGGCGAGAAAAGGGCTTCTAAACGGGGAGGGTTGTACTTAGGGTCAAGGCTGCATGGCGTGGAGGTAGTGTGGTGCCATCGAAGTGGGAAAGGACACAGAGGAAATAGCGCAACAGGCACAGTTGTGTGATTCGTCTACAGAGGTATCGTTAGTCACTCTACGAATGCTGGCCTAGTTACGTTTGTGCCATTAGTTTCATAATAGTCAGGGTTTATGGTGCGTTCAAGTCCTCCGGGAAGTCTGTATTTATGAGTTGCACTCTTTAAAATGAAGGTGCTTCACGATGCCATAGAATAACCTTTTTGTCTAAATGGTTCCATAAAGAACCTTTAACATCTGAAGAACCTCTTTGTTTCACAAATGGTTCCTTGTGGCGAAAGAAGGTTCTTCAGTTTATAAAAAGGTGAGAAAGAGATGGTTCTTTAAAGAAACTTTGACTGAATGGTACTTTGTGAAACCAAAAATGGTTCTTCCATTGCATCGCTGTGAAGAACCTTTTAAGCACCTTTATTTTTAAGAGTGTGGGACACCGTAATTACAACGTCAGGTGTGTTCAAGTCACTTTGGTGAGTGCAAGATGGCGATGTAGCTTTTCTACGAAAAACAGAGATTTGTTTTAGCTTCTATAAATGATGAATAAAGAATGCACATCAGATGTGTTTTTCTTTATGTTTTTATCCAATTTATAAAGGTGCTGTAATCGTAATTGTACAATACTACTTTATTTTGTACATGTACTGCTATATTTTCTTACCGACACGCCCCCAACTTGAAAATGAAGGGCTTACATTAAAATTTGCTTAAAATGTATTCACCCTCAGGCCATCCAAGATGTAGTTTGTTTCTTTATCTGAACAGATTTGGAGAAATTTAGCATCACTTGCTCACCAATGGATCCTCTGCAGTGAATGGGTGCCGTCAGAATGAGAGTTAAAAAGATCACAATAACAAGTAGTCCACAAAGTAAAGCAATACTATAGATAGAGGACTCGTATTTGTTATAAACATCTTAATGGTGGATTCTTACAAACACACAGCATTTCATGTCACATGCTGTTAACTGATGGACTGAAGTTGTGTGGATTACTGTGATGTTTTTATCAGCTGTTTGGACTCTCATTCTGACGGCACCCATTCACTGCAGAGGGTCCACTGGTGAGCAAGTCATGCTAAATTTGTCCAAATCTCTTCAGATGAAGAAAAACTCCCCTACATCTTGGATGGCCTGAGAGTGAGTAAACTATTTCAATTTCCCCACTTGTATTAACGACTTTGTGGCGGCATGTTAATGTGCGTTCAACTCATAAATACGACCTTTCCGACATGACTTGAATGCACCGTAAGTCACAACGAGAATTTTAGCTTAACTGTGCACAAACAGAATTTCACAGGTTTTTCAACGTTCCTCGTCCCGCGCAAACCGTCACACCACACATCCGTTTCCTGTCCTGCCACCTCGCCCCGAAAGAGTCCCAGCTCTAAGCTGGAGTAGAATTCTATCCAAACGTCTACAGAAACGGAAGAGCTAAAAATAAATTAAAACTCAAAAGTTAAATGTAACATGCACTTTCGCTCTCATCTGCTTGATAAAAACAATCTTATGGCTAAGTCTTGAGGTAGCGTTCCTAGTTATGTGAGGTTTGAGTCGTCATTTGTAGCACCCAAATGTTTTCCTTAAGGAGAGGCCAGAAACTAGGTGAGATACAACAGTGGCATGCAACGTCGATATGATGATCACACCCAACTAAAAGCTGCGCTTCAGCCTGTGGTCTACATGCAAATCTATGCACTGCAATGCAACTTTTCCCAGTGGACGCTTAACAGTCCGTTAAGCCATTCGTTTGACTCGTCACAGAATTGCATAAGTAAACAACATACTATCTCTTTTTGAAGCTCTAGTATGCTAAACGGTTCTACGGTTTGTTCAAGCCCTTGCCACCGACAACGTGTGGAGGACTCTGAAATAAAAAGGAGAGAAGAAAACACTTCCAAGTGCCAAACAGGAGGCCGACTCGCAGTACTCAGGGAACCGTGTAACTATATGAGCACTGCATCCGTTCCTGACTGCGAACAGTCTTAATTAGTTCCTTTTTCCTGGAGTACAACGACAAAACACAAAGCGAACCCCAGTTTGGCACAGGTATTACGTGAAGAACAAATCATTTGTTAGTATTTCAAAGTGTAAGAGGTGTCTGTGCATAAAGAACTCTGATCGAGGAGAAACCTAGCTAGAATCCAAACTAAATGGAGACAATTTGAGAAAAATCAACAAAACAACGACGAATGAGGAAAAATAAAATCGCAAAGAAATTCAACATCAAACGACTGAACTGAACAGAGAAAACGGTCACAAACGAGACCAGCGTGAGAGAGGGCGCTCAACTCCAGAAATGAAACCACACGTCGCTCGCCAAGTCTCTTTTGAATCGGATCATAATGCAAAACTAAAATGAGCGGATGAAGGTAGCGAGTGGTGGAAGGGGATGAAAGGTGAGAACACGTGGGGGAAAAGAGGAAGGGGACAAATGTGGCTTTTGAAATCTTTACAAAATGTCCACCTGTCCATTGAAACTGTCCAGGGCATCACCCTCTCATCGCTTATACCTTTCACCCAAAGAAGAAGAAGAATAAAAGAGACAAAATAACAAAAAATGCAATTACAATAATATATCTACTATTTCTGTTTTTTTGTTACAACTATGTTAGTTCTTGGAGATCTGCTGTTATGTTAATATTTCTTGCTCACAAATTTTTTTGTCTTTTATTGATGAAACAGTTCGCAACCAGATGTCATGTCCAAATAATGCTTGCTGTCAAAAAAAAACAAAAAAACAACAACGTAAAAACAAAAAGGCTGCTGCAGTCTGAACACAGCAGAAGTGTGTGAGTGTGTCTTGACAGAAATCTATGGGCTGGAACAGTATTGTGTCGCCATGGAGATGAGTCATTGACAAGTTCAACCCTCAAGCAGAAAACTGCCATCTAGTGTGAAAAAGGGAAGCTTAAAAAAAAACAACACTAAAACAAAATAAAAGACCTTGACCGGTTAAAGCACATCAACATGCTAGCAAACCCTTCGTCTGAATGGAACCTGAAAATGATGTGGTCTGGCAGTGTCCATCCATCTTTAACGGTTAAAAGTCTTTCCATCCTTTATCCAATTAGTATTTTATTTAAAAAAAAATACAAACAATTTTTATCCGATTGTTCCGGTGAACATTATTTATTTACAGGTTTCAATTGGAGAGATGTGAATGTTTTTATTTTATTCTTTTACGTTATATATTTTTTTCAGCTTCCGCTTTTCGAAGGTACCTTTTATGGTCTCAGTCAGTTTTAAAAAAATGAGTACGACCGAGGCCATAGAGTGTTTTTCTATGTTCCTGCCTTTCTAAAACACCCAAACCACTTCCCCAACAAAAAGATTTAACACTTCAACTCAATTAGAAAACACACTCGCGCACACTTGCACAGGACAATGGGGAAGGACGAGACTCGATCCAAAAAAATGGAGAGAGATGTTGAATGGTTCACATTCAGTGCCTTGGGGCCGAAGAGCATGTTTTTCAAGCATGGCGAGTTAGGTCAAGCCCTTTCAAGTAAGTCATCCAATGATCCATCAGTGCAGAATGATCAAGATCACACCACAGGTGCAAAAACAATGGCACAAGCTAGAAAAAGAAGCCATTTTTAGATTCTACTTTCAGCTTGTATGACAAACACACGCATATGCGCCAAACTTAAATTCCTGTGGTCTAGCAATGTTCATTATGCACCAGTAAAAGATGGAATGATCCGTCCTACGTCCCACTGAACAGTGACTTCAAGTGCGACTCTCCAAGGACCCCCAGGCTGGCCTAAAGGCTGCGAGAGAGACCACCTAAACAACTCTGAATTTTTCCTGGGAGTCCTTCTGAGCTCAGGTGAGGAAAAAAAACTCAATTACACTCACGCATAGAGTCATACCAAAAAAGAAAAAGAAAAAGAAAAAAAAAAAAAAAGGAAAATATTTCTTCCTTAAAAAAATAAAATATTCAAGACTATCAGCTTTTATATAAAAACACCAGCAAGCAAGCAAAAAAAAAGGAAAAAAATAAAGAAAAGAAATTAGGAATACTGAGGTAACAATACCCTGAGGTAGGTTTTTTGTTTTTTTTCTTAATTTCATTTTATCTAATCTGTTCTAGGTTCAGTGAGAAAGGCCAGGACTCTGGCAACCTCATCGGCAAATGTCGAACAAAGTGGGCGAGAGAGAGCACAGAAACCATTTTGCAGTCACCTGTTCTTGACCTTTGACCTAAAGGCAGACTTGTACCCTGTCATTTCAAACCTGGCATTCCAGCCGACTGTCCTCACTTGATTCTGTCTCTGCATATTTTACAGCATATTTACTCTCAGGAAAAACACAGAACAATGCGTCTGAAGGCCAGGTTTTACGATTGCTTTTTAAAAAAACGTGAATATGTAAATCACACATTCCTCAAAGAGAAAACGTTTTCTGAAATTGCGGTACGCTCATTTTCATCATCTGCCTGCTCCAATGCAATGAGGGGCCAGGTTAACTCACATATCATATATATATAATATATATAAAATATGCCGTTTGGGTGTGAGCGGCGCTGCAGCGATCATCGCCGGCGTGGTTTAGGGCGGAACTGATGGGTTTCCGCACATCAAAGCTGAGCCACTGCAATACAACTGCAGAGGTCACCTTTAGCCCACACGCTTACTGAACTCTCGCCGCACGTCCTGCCGGCCAAACGGCACACCACAACCCTCTTGAGTCAGGTACGCAATTGGCATCGGTTAAACGTGCAGCATCTCAACACAAAGTCATGAAGATTATATTTACAACCTCATTTTTTTTTTCATCTATTTTTTATCTCGTCACCCCCACAGTTTAGCGTGAGGGACTTCAAGAGCAGTGTTAACAACTTTGGCCCCTCCCCTCATCTCTGATAGGCAGGGAGAAGTCACCTGATTGGTGACCCCGCCCTCCAAAAATTGGAATGGATCCTCTGCTCTCTCTTTCCCATCTCTACCTCACTGCATTTCATTAATAATACCTCTGAATAAACATTTCTATACATATATCTCTATCTTTAAAAAAAACAGTTAAAATTTTGAAGTGACTGCTGATGGCTGAGGGTCCCGAGTAGCTCGAACACACTTTTGAGGGACCTTCATTACGCCCTATTCCTAAATAAGCAGCTATGTAAAAAGCTCTCACCAGAGGGCGCTCCGCTTTGACGGACCTCCTCGCCATCCTCAGTCACTCCACCTGGCCTGGCATCTGGTCTCTGTTTTCTAGTTATCTCTCTTTAAAAAAAAAAAAAAAATCACTTTTTTTTTCTTGTTCATTTTCACTAAACGTTCTTCCTCGCCCTCTCTCAGGCATGTTTTTTTTGTCTTTCTAATTCCCTCTCAATTTGCTGCTCATTTCTTCCTGTCTACCGCTGGGTCTGTGTGTCACTCTCTCAGTCAGTCCGCTCGTTTGTCCTCCCATTTGTCTGTCCGTCTGACTGGGCAGCGGCCCCGGCCTCTCACTTCCTCCTGGGTTCTTCTGCCAGTCCCTGAGGGGTATCCAGCTCAGACATGCCCTGCGGATGGGGCCCCTGCGGACCTCCTGTACCTCCTTTCTGCTGCTGCTTGACTTGTGTCAAAATGTCCCTGATCTTCCTCTGTGCCAACTAGAGAGAAGAAAACAAACAGCATTTCATTTTAAGTGAAAGTGAAGTGTGGTGATCCATACTTGGAATTTGTGCTCCGCATTTAACCCATCCAAGTGCGCACACACACACAGTAGTGAACACACACACACCGTGAATACACACCCAGGGAGCAGTGGGGGGGTTGGGTGCCTTGCTCAAGGGTCTCACCTCAGTTGTGTTATTGAAGGTGGAAAGAATGCTGGTCATTCACTCCCCCCACCGACAATCCCTGCCAGACCTGAGACTCGAACCCACGACCTTTGGTTACAAGTCCGACTCCCTATCCATTAGGCCACGACTGCCCCAAAGGTGAGGTTCATTAGGCCAAGACTGCTTAACCAAACTCTTTGGGTGTCCACTCTTAACTAATGGCGCTTTTCCACTGCGTGGTACGGCTCAGTATGGCACGGCACGGTTCGGCTCGGCACGGTTTGGGTTTCCACTGCAGTTCAGTACCGCTTTAGAGTGGGCGGGATTATTCACATGTGGTTATAGTTGCGCCGCCTCTACTACCACGACTCCTAAAAAAACGTTTTCATTCCGCGTCGCCCCATCAAGCTCTCGCTGGATCCGCTCCTCTGCTATCAACGAGAGGAACGTCTGTTCTTCCACAACAGACAACAAAACTTTTTGGTTGTTAAAAAAAGGTGCGCTCGTTCAAAACAGTTGCGTTCGATCCTTCGCTGGCTGTGCTGATTTAAATCTAGCGGTTCTTTTGTGTTTGTGTCGCAAGTTCAGGTAGTGACGATTCTTTCCGGCCAATCCGTGATCAGCAGAGTTTACACGTCACGTTTTGGTAACGGTACGGTTCACTTGGAACCCCAACCGAGGTGGTACTAAAAAAAGTACCAGGTACCAGGTACTGTACCCAGTGGAAAACCCCCCAAAAGTGAACCGTACCGAGCCGTACCGTGCCGCACCATGCAGTGGAAAAGCGCCATAAGCAAGGTATTTTTGTGACCCTGGACCACAAAACCAGTCATAAGTAGCAATAGCCAAAAATACATTGTATGGGTCAAAATTATAGATTTTTTTTCCCCTAAAAATCATTAGGGTATTAAGTAAAGATCATGTTCCATGAAGATATTTTGTACATGTCCTACCATAAATACATCAAAACTTAATTTTTGATTAGTAACATGCATTGCTAAGAACTTCATTTGGACAACTTTAAAGGCAATTTTCGGAATATTTGGATTTTTTTGCACCCTCAGATTCCAGATTTTCAAATAGCTGTTTATTAAACTTATTTATTCAGCTTTCAAGTGATGTATAAATCTCCATTTGCAAAAATGGACCCTTATGACTGATTTTGTGGTCCAGGGTCGCATTTGTGCAGGGAATGCAGAAAGATAAGCAACTGACCTGACTTGCATAGAAGTGGCCGATGATTTTGACGATGACCTGGTCGTGTTCATCAGGGGTCTGCTCACGGGGAACCACTACTTCAGCAGCGGTGAGGTTCTGCAGTTCATTCACCTATGATGGGTCATTTAAGCACAGAGGATCAATTAAATCAGCAGCAGAGTCTTGATCAGCACATTGCATCAATTTGTTTTATTAATCAAGTTATCATATGTACATTTTTGCTTGATTTTATGGGGAGTTTGACCACAACGTATTAAGAGTTCTTTTTAAAGAAATTAAAATTCTGATTCGGCAAAGATACATTTCAATCAATTAAAAGTATCAGTGAAGACATTTATAATGTTACAAGAGATTTTTATGTTTCAAGGAACTTTTCCATTCTATTCTTTTGTAAGGATCCTTTATCAAATCCACAGGACTCTTAGTTTCACAAATTTTACCGACTCCAAACTTTTGAGCAATATTAGCAGTATACATTAACAGTAGTATCATTGATACACTATTATAGTTTCAGTTTTTTTTAGATTAGGTTTTTTATATTCTCTGTTTTCAATTTAATCTTAGTTAATGTTTTAATAATTCTGTTGTGTGTTTGTAATTCAAAGTTTTATTTTTTACATTTCTCTTCATTTTTATTTATTAGTTTTAGCTTTAGTTATTTTAGTACTTCAAGTTAAACTAAACGAAAATGAGAAACGTTGACTTTACAACTAGCTCAAATAAAATAAATCTTTTAAAGATTTTATTTTATTTCAGAAAACGGTTATTTTACCTCAAGTATCATTTTGTTATTGCTTTAATTTAATAATCGCCCATATTAACATTTCAACATAGATGACTAGAAAAGATAACTTAAATTATTCCATACTAAAATAAATAAAATGTACCATTTGCAGCTTTCAATATTAGGGAAAGAAATAATATAATAAAATGTGTATTATTATATAAATTGGATTGACACAGTAATAAAAAATAAAATCAGATATTTTAAAGCCATAAAAACCTTTCTCTGTGATCATCTCTTCAACGTTTAATTTCATGAGGTAACTTCAAAGAAACTCTTTGTTGTCATCTATCATTTTTCAGCCATACGTTAATGATGTACGTCTTACAGTTTTCCCGCCCTTTCCGATGACCCTTCCTGCTGCTGCAGCTGCTACTTTGATGTGTGTCTCCAACTTCACTTCCTCTTTGGGGCCAAAGAAGTTCTCCTCCTTCAGCTTACCGTATATTCTGCCTTGAGCCTAAAACACACAGCGCTTCTTAAGTGACCTGGGTCTTCCTGACAGCAAATTCCACTCAAATATTTTCTGAAATTAGTTTGCAAAACATGCAAACCTTGAACTGGGCCTCAGGTGGTCCTGTAACAATGACCATTCGCATTTTGGAGTCTGGAGCCTCTGCTGGTGCAATCTGAGGAAAAATGCATTTGAGAGCTGAAGTCATCTTGACATAGCTATGTACTTCAGAAAAAGAGAACATGAACCTCAATCGGAATATTTTAAATGACATATGAACACAATATTTGATCTGAGATGACCTGTGTGATCATTTTAACAATAATGTCACCCAAAAGATAAAAATTTTCTATCATTTACTCACCTTCGTGTTGTTCTAAACCTGTAAGATTTACTTTCATCCGTGGAACATATATTATATATATATATTAGTGCTGGGCAACGATCTTTTTTTAATAATCGCGATTAATCGCATGATTGTCTGCGATTAATCGCATTGTTATGCACAAAATTCAATAATGCATTCAAAAGTAGGGTATTGTGCACTTTTTTCAGTTAAAAGTACTGCTATATGAACAAAAGTGCAATAACATTTGGTTTGCAAACACTTAGCAGTTAAAATATTTCTTGTAAATCTCAACTTATAATATTAATGTAATCAAATTAAATATAAAACCAAAGCTATTTGCCACTGCCATGGCATTAACGTTTTTATAGAAAATATTTTATAGTTTGTTATAGAAAAACAAGTTATACTCAGAGTCCAGAGCCTCGATCATAACATTATAACAGGCAGGGCCGTTTCTAGGCATAGGCGAGCTAGGCGGTCGCCTAGGGCGCCACGACGTGTGGAGAAATGATGCTGAAAATTCAGATTTTTAATCTGTAAATTGAAAACACTGCAACAGGTTTGGGAAAAAATGAGGATGAATAAGTAAAATAATTAAAATTTTTGGGTGAACTATCCCTTTTAAAAGTAAATGCTATTTTTTAAAGTATTGGAAACCAAAGAGATTACCCACAATGCATTTTCACAAAGGCTACCTTAATAGAAGCTCCAGCAAAACGGCTTAGCTGCTTGATATGCTGTCCTTTCTTGCCAATAAGGGCTCCTACGGCTTGGGCTGGGATGTACACGTGGACGGTCTCCTGTTCAGAGGCCTGTGGGGAGACACAAAAAAATGAAAAACCTCTTAAGACTGCCACACCGCAACATATGGTGAACGAACGCCACAAAAGAGAATTGCGTTAACCGACCATAATAGGCTAAAGATGCCACAGAGGCCTTAGTTTATGTGACATCAGTATCTATGATTTTTTTTAAATAATGAATAGTGACAAAATTGTTCATACCCCAATAGGGCCATAGGGGGGTCCAGGCACGGAGTTTCCAAGGGCAGGAGGAGGCATGGCAGAGGATGGTGGGAAGAGGCCGATTGCTCCCAGGTTTAGTCCAGGGATCAGGTGAGTCTGTTGCTGGATGAAGGCGGAATAGATTTTCAGATTAGGATTCAAATTCATGCTTATCGGCCAAATAAGTTCAGAATCAGAATCAGAATGAGCGTTATTGTCAGGTATGTTTACACATACGAGGAATTTGTTTTCGTGACAGAAGCTTCCACAGTGTAACAGAATGACAGTGACAGAACAAAAAAACACAGATAATAAAAAATAAAAATAAATAAAAAATAAAAAATAGAGCAAGTAAAATAAGGAATAAAAAATATACAAATCGACAATTGTATGTACAGGTATATAACAATAGACAGTTGTATGTACAGGTATATTATGTGCAAATTGAAATGTAGACTGAGTATGTGTGTTAGATAAATAAGTGTATGAGTGAATAAATAGTGTGTGTTCCACAGTTATTGTCAAGTGTTCATGAGATGGGAAGAGAGAGGTGAGAGAACTTCATGAGAGAAGTTACACTTCTCTCTTTTTGTGTCCCTACACATTTTTCTCTCACATACAAACTCACATTCATGGCAGCGATGTCATTGTCATATGCCTCCCGCACTTTCTTCATGATTTCCTGTTCTGCCAGGCAACACGCTTCGATCGAGCCCTTCACTGTAATCGTCCTCTCTGGGTTATAAAGGGTCAGATCCTGCAGTCTGCATTAAGAAGAAAATCATGTTAAGAACACTCAGTAGAGAATTAGGCCACTGGTTTTGTGATTGTGTCCTTTCAATGCTTACGGTGAAATTGTGATCTTGGTATCAGTGTCTTGTTCCACTTTCTTCAGGTTGCGTCCCTCTTTGCCGATCAAACGGCCAACAAAGTTGTTGTGAGCAAGAACCTTCAGAGGCACCTCATCAGCACTACCAGAAATGAACAGTATTTGTTAATACTGATCTGAGAACAGACATGACCCAAGAAATTAAATGTAATTACAACAATAAATGTAATTGTCCGTTACAGTTACTGAGAAAAAAAAAGTGTAAATAAATTAGTTACTTATGAAAATGTTAACAATTACAAAGGGGGTTACATCGGAATATTTTCACACACACAGATTAAATTGATTTCTTTCCCAGACTGCAATATCTTTAACCTCAGAACGAGCTCAAAGTAAAAAGAGGTGCTGAAGTCTGATTTTGTGGTGGCGGTGCTTTAAAATGAAATTATCAATCTTAATTCAAGTGATGAAGGATTTTGAAAGTCTGACAGTAATCAGTGTTGAGCACTACTCTAAGGTTAACCCTGCCTGCTTTAAATGTTCCAAAATTATTAATTGTTTAAAGGGGTCATATGATGCGATTTCAAGTTTTCCTTTCTCTTTGGAGTGTTACAAGCTCTTGGTGCATAAAGAAGATCTGTAAAGTTGCAAAGACTAAAGTCTCAAATCCAAAGAGATATTCTTTATAAAAGTTAAGAGTCAGCCTTAATAAACTACTTATTACATTTTAAATGTAATCTGTAACCTATTACTTTTCCAAAAGTAACCTTCCCAACACTGGTCAATTTTGATTATTAATGAATAAAGTACTAATTTATTTAAAAAATAAATACAAAAGTAAATAACTTGCTGACCCCAAACTTTTGAACATATACAGAGGACATTATTACTTTATTACTTATATATTTTGAAGAAAAATCAAATAGTTATAAATGTAAAGGGGTGACTGTTCTGGTTGTGATTGTCGTTGACACTCACGTTTTGGTGTCCTTGGCCTCCTGGTTCATGATTTCCAGGATCATACGGCAGGCAGCTGAACAGCCCTCTGGGGTAGAATGGATACTTATGGGCTTTTCAGCAGCACCTGCGTTCTCTTTACGATGCACATCAATCCTGAGAGATGAGAGGAGAAGAGGGCGGCATCGGAAAGGTTATGCAATGAACAGTGTATCAAATATACAAAGGCACAAGGAAAATTCAAACAATCAGTCAAAAAAAAAAATCATACAGGTTTGAAGTGACTGAGTGTGAACTACTCTTTTAAATTAAATTAGTTTCTGTTCCATTCCTCCACTTTTTCCATGAAATCACACTTAAGAGTCAATAACTCACTTGCTCTGAGTTTGTTTGGTGATGTTACGGATGGTGGCGCCCTCCTTGCCGATAATGGCGCCCACATATTGTGTGGGGACCAGCAGCCTGAGAGGGATGTCAGCGTGCTGATGTTTGGCGGGGATTCCAGAGCCAGGCGACATCTGGCGGGAGTTTCCTCGCGGACCGTATCCGGGACGTCGGCCGTTGTCTGGGCCTTGTTGAGAGTCGGCATCAGAGTTTTCATCAGGGATGTATGACACACGCAGGGCGTTGTTCTCAAACTGGTAACCGTTGAGCTTCTGGATTGCTCTTTGAGACGAGAAGCATGAATGGTATGTGTGAATGACAGAGGGTTTATAGTAACTGACAGTATCTTGGGAAAAAAATGTCACTGCGGTGTGGATGAATGCTGACTGATTAAATGTACAAAGATGAAATCATACGAATAATTTCACAGTTCAACAGAAGAGATTTGCCTAAATGGTTATTAAGCAACATTATGAATTAATCTGATGAAGAATCCAGGCTGACAGATCTCATAGTTAGCTAACCTGAATAAAAGCTTGCAAAGCCGCTGAATCACCAGTAGGTGTCAGCCGCAAACAAGGAAAACCCGTAATGAGAGGATGCATGCTTTGTGGTGAAGGTTTAATGTGATATTGCAGAAAGACAAGGGATTTTAAAGCTGAAATGTGAAATTTTTAATTTTTAAAATACTTTGTTTTATTACAGGAAAATATGCACATACAGTCATTTGTAGATTTAGTTTTTATTTTTTGATAACATAGCATTTTCAAAACATTGAGAATCCAGACCAACCCAGCACAGCGACGTGATGCGAGTTTGAGGTGAGAATCAGTTTGTCCAAACAACGGAAACCTATCTGACAAAAGTCAGTATTTTTGCAATTACATTTGGTGACACTTGTGAAAAAAAAAATTACACACACTTCAGCTTCAAAATTAAGGTTTCAGGGCAAAGTTCACTCACTGTCTAGCCTGCTCCCGTGTCCCATATGTGACGTTCACAACTGCAGTCTCACTCTCTGTATTCACTGTGGAAAAAATAAGAACAGAGAAAGAAAGTGTAAATAACAACAATTTTTTTATCTTTTTGATTTCTTTTGATGCAACAAAGCACACGCAACACTTCCAGGTGTTCAGCATGCTTTTGATGTATCTTTAAAACATAAGTAATTCAAATTTTTGTACTATTTTTATCAGTAATACATCATTCAAAACATAAATGAAACAATTTACCTTGTTCACAGTTCTCAACAGTTCCATACTGGGCAAGCAGACCATCAAGAACCTACAATGGATAAAAGAGAAAGAATGAAAGGGGGGGGGAAAGATCCTGATTGTGAATTTACTTCAAATTGTAGCAACAACAAATGCAGCAGCTGACTGAATCAGTTTCACAGATGACTCATAAAATTAAGGTTCATGAGTGTATACTTCATTTAATGTAGTTACCCAGGATGATCTCTTCAAAAAAGTTTCAATCGATTTCTTTTTATTCATTTTATTCTGTATTACAGAAACATCCTATCTGTTTAGTAACCAAGCTAATTTCACTTAGGAACTTAGAACTTTCAAATCTGATGTCAAGAATTAACTATAGGATTTTTCTGTAATGTAAAAAAAAAAACGAATTCAAACTTGTCCCAAACCAGGTGTGTATTTTGTGTATGATAGTAGGCTTAATTTCTCCATACAAAACTTTACATCTGTCAGTTTCACCCATTAAAACCTGGTTGGGATCTGATTGGTTTCGCCACCAAGGTGTCTCCTCCTAGTGGTTGACGTTGGCGCTTGGGGTTGGCAGAAGTGAGGCGAGGTGCCAAGAGAGACCCCGCCCCGCAAGAACAACTGTCAGCCAGTACAACAACCATTGGAGAAAACACACACTGTGCCACGCCCGCGCGCGCACACACACACACACACATACCCAGATGCTGTATGTTGATGGTGTAATCTCATAATCACACACAGATCACCTAACCTGAATGACATGGATAAAACTTGGAGTTTAAACCAACACAGGGCACTGCCCTTGCCAGAACATGTAGGGAAAGTTCAAACTTTGCTAGTCAGAGTCACATTAAACAGACACATTGCAGAAATTTGCACCAAACTGACAGAACTGCACAGAACTGATTATATAATTATTTTGCTGCAGTTTTTCTATCTATGTAAATATTAGAAAATGTACACGTTAAAAAGACTTAAATTTTTTTTTTTTTTTTTTTTTGTTTGGTTTTCTTTTTGAAA